GGGGGGGTCTTTTGTCTTGGGGTTTTTTGGTTGTTGTTGTTGTTTGTTTTTTTTTGTTGTTTTTTTTTGGGGGGGGGTGTTTGTGTTTTGTTTTGGTTCGGTTTAATCTACAACTTTTGTTGGCCTCACTTATAACTCTTGTCTCGTAATCGTTCAGTACAAAATGTCTTTGTATCTTTGTATTAACCTCAACGAGAACAGCTGATAATGATGATAATAATATGCGAATACTCGATAACCTCACGACAGGGAGAGGAAAAATGAGACGATAATCCATTGTCTGTGGGTGGTTGGTGGGTGCTTTGGGGAGGTTTGCTCCTTTTTTCTTATCAAACATCTATCGTCTTTATCTCTGCTCCTTCTTTTTAGTGTTTGTCACTCTCTTGCAACACCTCTAATCTTCGGCGCTCATATGACCTTAATAATGTGTTGCCAGTGCCGTAAAACTCTAACCAAAAAAATATTAAAAACCACAGTACTTCAATCGGGTGGCTCAATCTGTTGTGAATAACGGATTGAAAAATCGTGAATGTTGAAAAGTAGAGCCGAATCTCGCCAGCTGCTCTACATGCCATAATAATTAACCCCATCTGACGGTATCCCGGTTCAAGATACATTATAAACAGGGGCGGACTGGGTCTTAAAACCGGCCCCGGCATATGTCATCCGTACCGGCCCACTAAGGCCTAGTAAAACACGCAAAGCCAACATGTTTCTAAGCCTCCCTACTATTATTATGTTACTAGTTAGAACACAGAAACAGACACAGTAATCTGAAGATAATTTTTTTTAACCAAGCGGCCCTCTTTGTCCTTTCAGCACCGGCCACCTTTTTCCCTCCGGCACCGGCCACCTTTTTCCCTCCGGCACCGGCCCACTTCGTTCCTTCAGCACCGGCCCAGGGGGCATTGCCCAAATACCCATAGGCCAGTCCGCCTATAAATAATATATATATATTACATGCATTTCTTTAGCGCTTTTATCTGTTTCGAGAGATACCGGACTACTAACGATTTTACGGCACTTGCAACACAATAGGTCATATTAGTGCCGAAGATTAGAGATGTTACAAGGGAGTAACAAACACGAAAAAATGAGTTTAACGGCGCTCGCAACTGTATAAGGTCATATGAGCGCCAGAAGATTAGAAGTGTTACAAGAGAGTAACAAACATAAAAAAAGAAAAAGGACGATAGATGTTTCATAGGAAAGAAGAAGCACACCACACCAGAGCACCCGCCAACCACACACGGCGGAGAGATAAGGACGATAGGTGTTTGATAGGAAAGAAGAAGACAACCACACCAGAGCACCCGCCAACCACCCACGCAGGAGAGATAAGGACGATATAGATGTTTCATAGGAAAGAAGAAGACAACCACACCAAAGCACCCGCCAACCACCCACGGAGGAGAGATAGGACGACATAGATGTTTGATAGGAAAGAAGAAGATAACCACACCAGAGCACCCTCCAATCACCCACGGAGGAGAGATAAGGACGATATAGATGTTTGATAGGAAAGAAGAAGATAACCACACCAGAGCACCCTCCAATCACCCACGGAGGAGAGATAAGGACGATATAGATGTTTGATAGGAAAGAAGAAGATAACCACACCAGAGCACCCGCCAACCACCCACGGAGGAGAGATAAGGACGATATAGATGTTTGATAGGAAAGAAGAAGATAACCACACCAGAGCACCCGCCAACCACCCACGGAGGAGAGATAAGGACGATATAGATGTTTGATAGGAAAG